CGAGGTGGTTTATATTGGCGAGGTGGTTTAGATGGGCAAGGTGGAGGTCGGCGGGTCTTGGAAGATTGAAAATTCAGTTTCATTTTAGAAAGAAACATTTGAACTTTAATTTTTTGATCATTATTAAGATTAGATAATAGCAAAAAATTCAGCGTCATTAAGGAGAACCATTCTGTTCTAATTAAATAAACACAAAAAATTCCCTTTTTATACTATATTATTGCGTTGATGCTTGGAAGGTTTACATTTACTATCTTAAATTAATGTTGTGATAAATGCGATAATTGGTACTCATCACAATTAAATAAATTTTAAAAAATTTTTAATTGTTATTAAATTTCTATTAAAAATGACTCAATCGCTGAAGCAAAAAACCAGACTTCTTGATATATTAATTAAGGTTAAGTCAATACTATTCAAGCAAATAAGGTAGTTTGTTAAACCTTGATTAGTAACTAGATGTTTGATTTCTAACTTCATCATATTTGATTAATTAATTTATTTATTAAAAGTTAAATCACAAATTTTTGTTTGCTAAAAATGAGTGTATCTTAACAAGGATTTAACTATTTAATGTTAAAGACATTTTTGAATACTAAAAACCTAAAAAATAATTGTATGTGCTCAAAAGAAAAATATCTGAGTCGTCACTTAAAGTTTTTTTCATGTGATTAAAAATTATTAAGTAATCTATAGTTCTTAATATATTCAGTAAATTATAAATTTCATTATTAATCTTGATGGTTAGTTAGTAGATTAAAATTTATATAGAGTTTGGCAAACTAATAATTTATAGGACACAAAAAATATATATTGCGAAATTTATGGTTAGTTTTATTTTGTATACCCAAAGTCTGTTAATAATAAAACTAAGAAATTACTTTTAGATGAAGTTTTTAAATATTAATGCTAAATATAATAAGATATTAATGATTTTTCGATTTTCTTTTAATACAAATTTAATATATTAAATTAATATATATTTGAATTCTAGTCTACTGCTTTTTTAATCAAAGCAATAGATAATCAAATCAATATTTCTTCGATTTGTTCTAAATTTAGAACATTTGAAAAAGAAATATCTGTTAAGTTTTTTTGTTTATGATTTTTGTTTTTGTTCTAATCTAACTTTTTTTAATCATTAAGAGTAAGAAATTTCCTCTCTCTAAACTTATGCCTTATGCTAAGATATTAATAATAAGAAATTACCTGTTTTTAAATTTAATTTAATTTAATTAATAATATTCTTTCAATCAGTGCCTTAGAAAAATAGTTGTGAAGTCAGGGCCAACATGATTTGATTGGCTAGTTTTAATAAAAAAAAACTAGCCAATCAGATCATGTTGGCCAGTTGATCCATTATATGATTTTAACTTCAATTAAATTTGGTATTTATTAAATATAGTTAGTGACAAACTCTAGTCACAAGTTAATTCAAACAATGATGAAACAATAAGAAAATTATTTAAATTGTTTGACTATGTTATTTGTAGAGACGATTATGATGTTGAAGAAAATAGAAAGTATGTAGAGACACTAAAGAAAATACAAAATTCAAACCAATGCTATGCAATTAAAGATTCTCCTACTGGTGTATATGCTGCTTTAGATGTAGTGAAAAAAGTAATTGTTATGTCATTAAATCAAATAACAAAAGAAGAGTGAGAATTAATACTAGAAAAACATAACAATAACATGAAAAATTATTTACTCCCAAAATGATATAATGAATTAAAAATTTTTCTTATATGTTCTTTAAATTAACTTTATGACCAAAGATTATAAAAATGAACTAATTTGTTATCCACACTTATTACATTTTAGGCTTAGAAAATAATATTAAAATATAGAAATAGAAAAACTATATTTGAAATTCTTTGCTTGCTTAAAAAGTAAAATAGATGCATGTATTTATATAAAGTTATAGTATAATAGTTCTAATCAATGTTGAAAATTCGATGTTCTCATCAATTTTTAATTTTTTATTAATAAAAAATATAATTTTATTATTATTATTATTATTTATTTTTTTTTTTGAGAACATTAAAACTAGTCTAAATTAAAATATCAAAAATTTGAGTATAGATCACTTATTATGGAAAATTCAGAGTTTTCATTCGATTCATATATAGATATATAAAAATCAGTTTCCAAATAGCTGTAGTTTAGAAATTCATTAAAATCAAAGTTAACATAGGGATAAATAGGCATATAGGTAGGAGGTAATAAAAATTGACATTGATTTATAATTGACGGAACAGATGGTTGTTCTACAATTGGAGATGAAGTTGACATATTTTGGTTAATTTTTTTTATATTTCTACTGCAACGAGATGGTTTTTTTATTAATAGTTTCTTTATGGGTGAGTTCTTTGCTGTGCGTGGCTTATATACATAGTTGGGATAATTTCCATATGCTTAAGCTTCTTGAAGTTAGCAAGTTTTTAATATCAAAGTTTTGTTTCTTCATTTTCATTATTCTACATTTCAGAAATAATCTTGGATACTTTACAATTTTTTAGATTTTTATTATGTGCTATGATGTCATATTGTTTGTGTTTTCTATATAAGATAAAAGCATTTGGAGGTTGAGGAACTTCTTTACGTTTACGTGGTTTTATGGTATTTGTGGGAGTTACAGTAGAGGTACAGTGGGAATTACAATGTGGTCAGAATTCAACATAAACACGTGACAATATTTCTTTAAATCTTGTTCCATTTTAGAAAGTTAAGAAATGAAGTATGGATTTGACATAAATTATAGGTATTTTAAATATTAATTTTGTTTCTAAAAATAGGATTATTTCTTATCACTAAAAAGTTATAGCCGATTTTATTATTTTTATACGCTGTGATAACAAAATTCATTGGTTTTAAGAAAAAATTGAAACATTTATTAGTAAGTTTATTATTATTTACAAGTTTGATGTTTGAATCTTTATTACAACATTTGCTATTATATAGACTAGGAAAGGGTATTATTTAACAGTTACTTCTGTATTTATTCATGAATTCAAAAAAATTTATCCGTTATCTACTGTACGTATAAATTTGTCTTACTAATAAAAGAAATTTTGATTTTTTTAAGCCAATAAACTTTAATCATTATAACCACAGTTGCGATTGTGCACTGCATCATAATTTAACTACTTTTGGGATGAATTAACATTAGCGTTAAAAAATAACCCCCAAATATTGAGACTTGCACTTTTTTTTATATGATATAAGAACCACTTTAATCTTTGACATATAATATTGGTTTAAATATTGATGTAGAAAAAGAATTACAAGAACTTCTGATTTTAAACCACAGACTTTCCTTACTTTGAATCAATTAATTGCTAATGCCGATCGAAAAAATAATAAAAATACTGCAACATGGGTTCTTTGTGGGTCTTTGTGGCCGATATTCATAGTTAGATGGTCTTGTATATGTTTCAGTTAGCAAGTTTTTCAAATTAAAATTTTATTCCACATTTCAGAATTCGGCTTTGCGCGTATTAAACCAATTAAAAATAAATCATAAACACGTGACAAAATGCTTACTAAAATAGGATTATTTCTTTTCACATTTATTTATACGCTATGATAACAAACTTAATAACGAGTTCATTGGTTTTAAGAAAAGATTGAAACTTTTATAGTAAGACAAAATCAATTATTACAATGAATAAAGCCGTTTATTATTATTTTTATTTATAAAAACCAATGACCCTGAGTTTACACGATCCGATTCTATCATGTAGAGGTGTGAACTATAAACTATTAGTTATAATAACTAAACTGTAAATAAGACCTGAGTACTGTTACGGTAATTTATACTATTAACGTTAATTACCTCTTATGTCAACAAAGAACTCATGATAGTAGAGGTGCGAACTATAAACTATTAGTCATAATAAATAAACTGTAGTTTATTTTAAAACTAACTATAGTTTTAGAGTTATTTATATTAATTGTAAATTATCGTTCACTTCTCTAATCTTACGTTTACTGCTGTATTTATCCATGAATTCAAATTTGAATTGTTTATTTATTGTAAGAATTTATCCTAGTATTTTGTCTTACAAATAAAAGAAATTTTTATTTTTTTAAGCTAATAAACTTCAAGTTAATTATTATTAGTAATTTGCCTATTTTTGGGATGAATTTGCATAAAGATAAAAGATCTCGTTGACTTTGCAGATCTCATTAATAATATAAAACATCAAAAAGAAGCATCAGGCCATTTTAAATTTCAATATTTAAATAAAGTATATCTCGTGATCTAGTAATTAGAATTAAATGATTTTTATATTGTTTAATTCATCTCATTGAGATGAATTAAATAATATAAAAATCATTTAATTCTAATTACTAGATCACGAATATACTTTATTTAAATATTGAAATTTAAAATGGCCCTGTTCCCATATTGAAATTTGGTGCGCTTTCTTTTTTATACAATATAAGAACCACTTTAATCTTTAATATAAAATAATGAATTCATTATATCAGCATTATCATATTGATTTAGATATTGATGTAAAAAAAGAAGTACAAGAACTTCTGAAATTTAAATCAAAGACTTTCTTTTCTTTGAAACAATTAATTACCAATTCCAATCACAATAAAGGGCAAGACAAGACAAGATACCAACCAAGAACACAAAATGCTTTTCTACTTTGGTGAAAAGATTTGAATGCATTCTTAAATTTGAGCATTAAAAAAGATTTAAAAAATTTGAACATTAAGGAAGGTTCACAATTGTCATGCTGATGACCAACACCCCTTGTGTTGATATTGCTAGGGTTAGATACAGTCACAGGTTACCCGATCGTGACTGGGTAATGACAATAGCATGATCGTTGATGCATGAATTTAATTTATAGTCTATTTGTAAGTACTGCATAATGCGTGTAACTGGGTAATTAACACAGGTCGAACAAAGGAATACCAGAGAAGTATCAGAATGCCGATAGTAACTGATATTTTATCGATATGGCTATGATAGTAGTTCGGTATATATAACCAATATCTTACCAATTTGGCACCTATATTTTACAGAAATTTGGCTAATTTCGGGAACCTATTGGTGCTATTCTAAACTTATATCATAGCAATATCGGTTTTTTGATAGAAATTTTAATTTTCTGATAGCTACTCTAATTTTACTATATTACATATGACCAGTTAAATTTTAGAAACCTATCAGGTTAATTACAGATGTATACCAGTTTTCGATATGGCTTTTGATTTGATTTTCTATTATCGTACTCAATTCCGTAGTTTTTATTAAATGTCACACTAGAAATTTTTTAAAG